CGCAACAAGAGTTCGAACCATTTTAATTTTTCGGCATTTTAACCGCTTCCCTGGTTGGCTGGCTTAATCCAGAGCACTTTAAGTTTGAAAAAAATTACCTATTAGTTCTTTTTATGTATAGTTTTTGAAGAAGTTGGTCTAACCTGCACGTATGACCTGCAAGAATCATCTAGGTAGACTAAATATGTAATCAGTGAAAAGAATCAGTTCAAGACGCCATATTTCTTGAAGATAGCCTTCAACACTTTCTTGTTTACCTTAGGCACGACCAAAGTTCCTGTCTCTAAATTTCAGATACTTTTGTTACTGTGCTACTTATTTAGAAACATTCTAAGCATTAATACAAAATTGACGCTTAAATAGAGAAGACATACTGAAACAATGGTTATTTCTATATAGACTAGTGATAAACAGAAAGAAGCAATGTATGCAAATAAAATTTAATAAACGTACAATTGGTTGAAAAGCGTCATAAGTAGTTTAATTTGTTTTCACGCATCCTCTTTCGCTATCCGGCATGAGTTAATTTCGCACTTTATTTCTCCTACAAACTACTTCCAAAATGATCTAAAATAATGTAAAGATGCATCACTCAGTCTATAGGCTTTCAAATATTTGGATTGTAACATAATGAGCTTTAATAAATTATTTACATGTTCATAACTGCCTGTTAACTTATTCAGACGTAGATCGGATCCACAAACACGGAATGGAACGATACATCGCCCTAGAGCCCTGGCGAATGCCGCACGCCGAACTCTTCCAGATTCTGCAGTCCCTCTGCCTGGAGTACCGCATGAAAGATCAGTTTGTTTCACTAGGCTGGTTCAATCCCTCCCAGATGCTCGTTCTGGACGAATATTGTGCTCGCTACGGTGTCCGCGGCTGTCACAGGCATCTGTGCTACCTCACAGATCTGTTGGATAGAGCTGAGCGTGGGATCATGATCGATCCGGCCTTGATCCACTACTCCTATGCCTTCTGTTGCAGCCATATTGTCGGCAACACGTAAGTTCACTGTACGCCTAAGCTGAATGTAATTTCCGTTCAAGTGAGTTTCGCTTTTTAAGAAGGAAACTTAAAAGAGATTGCATTATTTATTTTTTTATGCCGTGATTGACCCATGTTGGGCACGCCTCCTTGGCAAAGTTGAACAAACTTAAATTCGAGAAAAGTGTATTCAGCAGATGAGAACACACAAATATCTATATAAATATTCAGCAAGTACAAAAAACGTAGAGGAATGAGAACTGAAGAACTTCTACGATTATGCTAGAACTTACTCCGAACGAGTTGTAAATTAAATCGGTATGCATCTCACGCTTGCTGACCTTTAGTATGCTTCAAATGGTGGGATTCTCATTAAAAAGCTTTAGTTGATTTCCACAGAATGTGCCTCTTTTCTGCTAGAAGTTAACTTTAAACTTGCGCCTAGTTGTTTTAGAATTTGTCACCAAAAATGAAAAATGACAACATATCAGGCCGGTTGTACACTAGCCGTATTAGGAACACGATTTGTTTTATTTGCTGTTTTGTTCTTTCAAGCAGCGTAGAAACACTGCATGTTTCGGTCCGAACCTGATTCCAGGGCTGTTCTAGAATTCTTTCTGTTGTTTTCGCACTACGTGGAATAAAAAGCAAACTAAAATGTGGGATACATTTTAATATCTAGGTAATCTCTAAGGTACTAAATTTAGCCATGAGTGATTCAAGTGGACTAAACTAATTCATGGACTTAATCAACATTTATGCAGTAGACTTTAAAATGTGCGCAAGCTTGCAGTACACATTTTGTCGATGAAAATAGCTGTCTGTAAAAGAGGATACATAAACATTTCAACCTGCCCGACTAGAGTGAGATAAAAGCAGATCAATTTCCAGTTATATTCTCATACATTTAGTCGCTGCAAATCACCGAGTCGATGCCGATGGAGGCTTTCGGGTTGTCTAACGGACACCAGCGAATCGTCCTAAGGACCTAAGGCAATGTGTGCTAGTCCCAGCCCAGGCAGTGGCTATTCGGTTAGCGAATCAATCGCTTAGTTCGCATGTGGCGACCCCCAGGTGAAGATCGCATGTCACCTCCCCCTCCATTGACAGTCGTGTGCACACCATCTGTTTGTAATGCACACACTCAACGGTCTGATTACCAAGACCGTCAATGACGACAAACGGGAACGTTGGCGTGAAAAAG